CCCCCCCCCCCCCCTTCCCGGGATTCTTCAACTCTGTTGTCTGAACCAAAACGGGCTGAGTGGTATAAAATCCGAGCAGAATGACAGAGATACTCGCAGAAAAAAACAACAACAAATAAACACAGAAACAAACAAATAATTAAACAAAACAAACTTCCCAACTCTGGATCTGAATCCACGTTTTCGTGCAACGATGAAGATCCTAACCACCAAACGACAGGAGCGAGTGTTACATTCATTATTAACATGATCAAGAACAAACGGACAGTCGGTACTCACCTGGATTCTCAAGGTCAGGCTTGTGGACCACGACGTCTCTGGGCGGGGCGAACCTGGAGGCTGCCGACATGAAAGAGCCGTGCTTGCGATTGGCCGCCTCGGAACGGGGCTTGGCCACAGGCGGTTTCACCTGGCTCTTCTCGTAGGATTTGATGACGTCATAGGACCCGGGAGGCGGCGCGTCCTGAGAGGGGAAGATTGAATACAACACTGGATGAACTCTGCTGCTGTAATGGCCTTTTGCTTGTGATTGTGCATGTGGTTGTACTTGTGATTGTGATTTTAATTGTTGTTGTCGGTGTTTTTGCTTTCACAAAGAAGATATCACGAATTTTATTTTTTTAAACAAAAACTGCAGTAGTCTCTATCCGGATGTTTCGGGTAAGCTTATAATGAAATGCACCCAGTGCCATCGTAAAGATATGTAGAATTTTTGTAGAGAAGCACATTGCTGGAAGCAGCGCCAAGTCTGCTGAAAAAAGAAAAAGAAACACAAAAAGAAACATAAAAAACATGCATCAACAAACTTACGGGAACGGTAGAAGAAAGAAAAAAGGAGAACTAATTAATTATCCTTTCTGTGACGCAGTCCAACACCCCCCGGTAATCGTGTTATGACAGTAGATGTGGCTTATTTCATTCCTTTTCTTGTTGTGATTGCCTTTGTTTACGCCTTTGTTGTTGAAATAATTGTTATTCTTGGTACTGCCATGGTTTGTGTTGCCAGTAACATGTATCTTATTGTGGATCAATCACACGCAAAAGGAAAATAAGACGTGGTGCCGTATATTGTCGTTAAGTCTCTGACATTGATACATTAATTAATTCAAAAGATTTTGAATCAAATCATCGCCTTGACAAGGTGGAATTTACACCTTTGTCTTATATGATTAAAATTCCTATGGCGTCTGTCTATTGCTGCTTGAAAGTAGCATAAAGAAAGAACACCACTCTAGACAAATGCCATTCAAAGGAGTTTTTGTTTTTTTCACATTCCATTCGATCACACATCGGGTCTACCGAAACGACCTGATTCTATTCTGTAAGCTAACCAGACAAAGAGGGCTTTATCAAATATGACTGCCCCCTTAAGCCAAGAAGTAGAACATATTGAGCGTCAAAGAAACTCCAGAAATCCGTGTAGAAAACGGAACTGTGAAAAAGCTCATTGTCGGCAAAGTGACAAGCCATTTACCACAATATAAACGTCGTACCGTCGCCAAAATAGCGGATGGCCACCCCAATTTGACCGACCGTAACACACACAAACGACGGGCAGCAAAAGAATGGGAGGATTATAACAATACTTCAACAAAACCAGAGCCACTCAATTCAGATTTAGATGACAGTAGCCGTGACGGTCCGGAGTCACTGACTAATGACGCATATCTTTGACATGAACGTCACATTATCTGGTGTGTACTGGTTACGTTTGTGTGTGCATGAGTGTGTGTTGGTGTGAGTGTACAAGAGCGTCTCTCTCTCTCTCTCTCTCTCTCTCTCTCTCTCTCTCACTCTCTATCTATCTATCTATCTATCTCTATCTGTGTGTGTGTGTGTGAGTGAGCGTGTGTGCGTGTGCATGTATGCATGTGTCTGGAAGAC